TTTTTGTTTTTTAAAAATTATGTTATTATATCAAAATGTTATTGTATCCAATGTTACTGTAATGAAAGTTGACTGTACTTATTTTTAATATACACTTTATACCTACTATATAATTTATATCTAATATACACTTTATACCTGATATACCTATTATACTTAATATACTTGATATACTTACTATATCTTTTTCCTTATTGTTTTCTATCACTTTTTTACATGCTAACAATATAAATAATAATATATTTATTATTTGTCTATATTATTATTTAAAACATGTAATGGATATTTTTGTCTTCATTTTATAATTAAGTTTTAAAATTTTTATTTTTGTAATAAGTGGATTATAATATATATACCAAAGAAAAAAAAATATAATGTTACCTTGATTTATTTCTTATATAGTGTAGAAGGGTTCAATAAGTTTATATTATATAATTACCTGACTGATATGTTTTGTAATATAGTTTATAATAATTTTTTATATGAGTTGTAAAATTTTAATATGGTTCATTGTTATATTAAGTGTTTTATATCTTATGAAATCATATATTTTACTAATATTTTAACTAAATATTTATAATTTTTTTTTTTTGATTCTTTGTATTTTTATAATATAATTAATAATTATTATTGGCTTATATATTTTTTCTTTAAAAAGTTTTACTTAATTAAAAGAAAAAAGAATTTAATATATTTTTAAAACTTGTACTAATCTTTTGTTAATAATCTTTATGAATACTTTTTTAATTATTTTTAACAATACTATAGATCTGATTAAATTCAAGTTGTATTGTCAATTTGAGTTTTTTTATATCAAATAAATGAGACTGTATTACTATTTGTTAGAAATTTAATGACCTGTGGGTCAATAGTGCAGTGGTTAGCACTCCACAAGTCAGATCACAAAATACCAGTTCAACTCCATGTAGAGGCAGTTGAACTGGATTAAAAATAATATCTGGCACCATAACCTGTTAAGCACTGTTTCTTATAAGAAGTCAATTCACACGCTGATCCAGCGGGCATTAAGATTGTGACCTAGCCATAAAAGGAGTTGGATGTGACGATCATCTGGTTGATGCTACGATGATCATAGAAAGATAGTCAAAAAGGTAAAAAAGGAGTCTTGTTTTGAGTAATAATGGTTTGGCAATCCTTTCCCATGATACCTAAGGTGTCTCTTTCTAAAGAAGTAATTATAAAGATCCTTTCCAGGACTGCTCTGTCAGTTGCTTCTTTGAGTTGGGCCACCACAGTAAGACCGATGTTATGGGCAGTTAGACGATATAAGTAACCTGACTGTCTGAGTGACTTAGGAGTGGGTTTAGTATAGGATAAAGAAGATTTCTTTAATAGAGTTTTATTTGCTCAAGATAGGTATCACTCCAGTATGTTACATTTCAATCTCTCCTTAATATTACAAAAATCCAAATAGAACAGACTAGTATAATTTGCAACACTAATGGAGCTTTGGCACGTTAGCCTCAATACTTACCCCTTATGGGGTAAGTCAATAGCAACAAGCCAATATGGAAAGTAAAAAATTGATATAGTTATGCAATGTTCTAGTTAGGTCATAGATAGTATTTCCTGTAATACACAAAGTACATATGTGATTCTAAATAATAAAGCGTACTATAGCAAGGTCCAGCTAGTTAATCAAAATAAAAAAAATAAAAAATTTATTAGAAATTTACTTTGTTTAAAAAATTTAAAGAAAGAGTATTATTAATTTGGTTGTACCTATTGGATCAATATATTTAAATATTGTATAATTTATTTAAAACTTTTTTGATATTGATTTGGTCTTGGATTTTTTAATAGTTTCTTTTATTTCTACAAAAGAGATTTCTTGGATATATTTGTCATATCAATTATTTATAATTTCAATCTTAAAAAGAAACTATTGTTTTGATCTGTTTAGATTCATTATTGATTATAGTATATTGTTAAAAGGTTGTTTGAAATGTTTTAATACCTTCTGTTTGATTTTTATGAAATCTGTGATTATTGTAAAGAAATTTTCTAATATAACTATTCTATTAAAAAAAATACTATTGTATTTTTTTTAATGGATTAATTAGATTTGTTTGTTAAAAGATATAAAAAAATTTTTTTTGTATTTTTTTATATTTTTTCTTGAATTTTCTGTTTTGTTAGCATTATAAAGTTTTTATAAGTTGTGTTCTAGAGATGCAATTTTTATAATAATTATTATATAAAAATACTTTTTTTTGTTAATTAAAATATAGATTATATAATATAATTGTTTTATTAACAGAAAATATAATATGTGATTTATTTTAAAACTTGATTAAAAAAACTATAACTGCAATAAAAAAATAAAATAAGGTAATAAAAAAAAAGTTCATATAAAATATTAATACAATTAATTAAGATTTATTTGTATTGTATATATTTGAAAATTCAATAAAAAAAATTAGAAAAAAATAATAAACAAAACTTATAATATAAAACAAATTATGTTGATAAATATTTTAATTTGGAAGAAAATAGTTATAATTAACAATAAACTTTATATTTTATTATATAATAAATTGATTAATATTGTTTAAATTTATTTTTGATTTTTAATAATATAAATTATATTAATTTGAATTAAATAATCAATTGAAAATTTAGTGACTTAAAAAGTAAAAATATATAAATTTAAATTTAAAAAAATTAAGTTAAACAACTTTTAATTATAATAATTAAAAAAATTAAATTTAAATAAAATAATTTAATAAAAATTATATTTATATAAATTGAATTGATTTAATTTAAGTTATAAAAAATTGAACAGATCAGTTTTTGAATTAGATTGATTTACAAAAAATTAAAACTATCAGTTTTTAAATTAAATCAATTTTAAAAAATCAAATTAATTTAGTTTCAGTTTTAGTTAAAACTGATTTGAACTTATTTGTTATAATTTTTATCTAAAAGTATTATTTTTTTTAATATAATTTGATATTTTGTTTTAATATATAAAATATTTGAAAAGTATATCAAAATCCAAATTAGTATTTTAAAAGAAAACAGAAGAAAAAAAATATTTCATTTTAATTTGACAAAAATTCAAAAAATCTATTTTACTATTTTAAAAATAGTTATAAAAGAATTTTGAAATTAATTATTGGTTAAGTGAAGCAATAAATTCAAAAAATATTGACTTCAAAGAGAAATTATTTATAAAAAATCAATATTTCTTCTAATTAAAAATCTTTGAACATAAAATTTCAAGAAATATTTTTTTGAAAATATTTTTAAATGTTTTTAATTAATGAAAATTTTTGAAAAACTTAAATAACATAGCTAATTACAAATAATAGAAAATAATTTAAAGATATTAATTATTAAATTGGCTTTTTTAAATAATTTTTTTTTGGCTATATTTAATTTTGTTTTAATATTTTTTTTTAAATTTTCAAAATTGTATTGTTAGAATTAAAGCTCTAAAAAATATCAAATTGGTATTGAAATAGTATTAATCTATAGTAAATTTAAGTATCATACTGATATTGAAGTGATATTAAAGTAGTATTATTAGAAGCTTTAATTAAAATACATGTTATGACTTCAAGAAATAATTTAAATCTTAAATCTTTTTTTTTTAATAAGCAAATTTTTGCTTTTTCTTTAATCATTTCTAAAAATCTTAATTAAATTGTAAATAAGAATGTTAGGCTTAATAGACTTGTATATAGACTTCAATATTTCTTTAGTCTTTGGTTATTCCAATATTTTGACAAGTATGTGATACTAGTACAATTAAAGAAAATAGAAAAAATAAATTTAATTCCATATTAAACAAAAAAAATTTTAATTAATTTCAAATCAAAACTTTATAATTAAACATACTGTATATTTATTTAATATACGTATTTCTATTTTATTCAAAAAATTTGATATACTGTATTTTTGTACAGTATAATAACCATATTTTCTTAAAAAATTTTTGTTTACAATTTATAATAAAAATAATTTGACAAAAGATTATTTCAAATATTTTAATAAAAGTTTAATTAATTATATTTTTTATAAATTAAAAATTTAATATTCTTTAAATTAATATTATAGACGATAACGTTGAAATAAAATTTATGCTCGTAAATTAGTTTACTTTTATTTCTGCTATTCTTTATTTAACAATAAAAATCTTTGGTGAAGTAAGTTAACCAAAAGTGTATCTGCAACAGTTTATGATATTCGCTGAGATTTTTGATCCGCAAGATAAATGCTAATTACTGTATTTGTTGTCAATTATGTTCGTATTAAAGTGGAAACAAAGAAACTTTTAAAAGTTTATCATTTGTTTTTTTTAAATCAATGACCGGTCTATCATATCGAATATGGTATATCTTTGTTCGCTTAAGCATTTTAATGAATCCTTTTTCAGTTCTTGTCATATGAATCGATTTATTATGACATCTTTAGATCATTTATAGCTGGTTTTTTTATCGTCTTCTAGTTTTGAATACAATCCTATCTGAGCCGAGGATTTTGATTATATATACACATACTGTATAGTTTACCTCCTTACAAAATGTCTCTCGTACTTTTTGGAGAACTTTCTAAAGATATTGGAGAACTACTTGAAAATGGAACCAATTCTGATGTGATTATTCAGGCTGGTGAAGGAAGTACATATAAAGAATTTCGTGTTCATTCTCTCATATTAAGTGCACGATCAACTTATTTCCGAACGGCATTCTCGAATAATTGGGCGAAGAAAGTTGATTCATTTATCGTCTTTAAAAAGCCGAATATTTCCGCCACTATATTTGATGTCATTTTAGAGTAAGTTTCAGCTTCCCTTTAGCTTATTTAAACTTCTATATATAAGTCTAATAATGATATAAATACAACACAACATACGTATAGATATTTATACAAAGCTATCATAGATTTGGATAAACTAAATGGTTCAGAAATATTACAACTACTGATTGCAGCAGATGAATTTGGATTTTCTACCCTTACGGATAAGTGTCGTTCCTTTTTGATCGAAAAACAGGATGAATTATTAGATAAGGATCCGGTTGGACTTCTTCAAATATCTTTACAACATGAACCTTGTGCTGTTCTTAGAGAGTCTTTAGTCCATACTATTTGTAAAAATGTCGGAATTTTACAAAAGGATCCACTTGGTCTTCTTAAGATTATTTTACAACACGAGACTTGTGTTACCCGCAGAGACTACTTCATTCAAACCATTTGTAAAGATGTAACAATTTTAAAAAAGGATTTATTCGGTATTCTTCAGGTTAGCGTCCAAAACGGTGCCTGTACTGCCCTGAGAGATTTGTGCATTAAAGCTTGTTGTACGGACACGGCACTATTTGAATCCCCATCTTTCTTGAATTTAAACAAACAGCTTCTTATCATGATTTTGCAGCAGAATTATATCGAATTAGATGAGATCCAGATTTGGAATTATTTATTGAAATGGGGAGTGGCACGTTCTTCGGCCTTGAACCTGGAAAATAAAAACGAATGGAAAATCAATGAGTTTAGGGAATTAAGGAATATTCTTCGAGACTTAATTCCACTCATCAGATGGCATCAAATATCTGCAGTTGACTTTCAGAAGGAAATAATGTTTTTTAAAAGTATACTCTCTGAGGATTTATTTCTAGATGTAATAAGTTATCACCTAAATCCTAACATGACATTTAAAACAGTTATTTTACCTCCAAGGTTTGATTCTTTGATTATTGATTATGATCAAGCTATAAAAATAACGAGACGCGCAAAAAACAACTCTTTTAAACTATCATTTCGGAATATTTTTGATGGTATTGAGGCCAGTAAATTTCATACTTTGCGTGATAACAACTCTTTTAAACTATTATATCGGGCTAGTCGTAATGGTTTTGAGGCCAGTAAATTTCATACTTTGTGTGATAACAAAGGTGCGACCTTCTTTGTAGCAAAATGTCAAGGATTTAACAAAATCATAGGTGGATATAATCCTTTTAGTTGGAAAACCTATGGTTCGTACTCGAACTCATATGGTTCTTGGGAAAATACAACAGAAAGCTTTTTATTTTTGTCTAGCGATAACTACTTAGACATTATTGATATTAATCAAGCGAATTCTACATACGCTGTTTCTTATTCAATTGATAAAGGACCCTGCTTTGGAGCCGGGCGGGACTTAGAAATATGTAATGATCGAATTTGTTTTAATGGTTCTACTACGTACCCAAAACTAGCTGCACTTATAGGAGATAGAGAATTTATCATGGAAGATTATGAAGTTTATCAACTCCTTTGACAAATTTATTATGTGTTGCCACTTTCAACTCTTTGCAATAATTTTTATTTAGCTTAGTATATTAAAATGACAATTAATTTTATAGATATGTTTACTTGATTTACTTTGAAATGATATTCCTATACATATGATAAATCACATTAGTCACATTAGTAATGTTGTCTAATTTAAATACAAAAATTTTTTAAAAATAAAATTATTATTTTTAAACTTGTTTTTAAATAATTGCTTTTTTTTATTGAATATGAATTTGTGAAGTTTATAAATTAAAACATTTATTTTTAATAAAATGGTTAATTAATATAATTACTTTTATTATTTTATTTATCTTTAATTTTTTTGTTATTTCTATAATTATATTAAAATTAGATTATTTCTATATTGATTTATTATAATAAAATAGTTTTTAAAATGATATTTTATAATATTTACTGTAACATATACTATTAAATTTATTTATATTGTTAATTTTAATTAAAAAAAAACTTTTTCATATATAATATTTTTTTTTTACCTTTTAATATTCAAAAGTTTTTTACATTTCTTTTATTTTCATTACAAAAGTCTCAAGAAAATCAAAAAAATATATTAGTATATTAGAATAGAACCTTTAATAAAAAAAACAAGTTTGAAATATTACTCTTTCTTTGGATTGTATAAAAAAAGGCTTATAACAATTATTTTTTTATAAAATTTTTTAAG